CTCGCTCTGGCACCCCAGCCCCCAGCTCACCCCAGAACCCCAGCACCCACCTCACCCCCCCACCCCAGAACCCAGCTCACCGCAGCACCCACCTCGTCCCGGCACCCAGCTCACCCCAGCACCCCAGCACCCGCCTCGCCCCAGCACCCGCCTCGCCTGGGGTGCAAGCACCCAGGGATGGGTGACAAGGCGAGAGTGCTGCACCATTCCCCCGCAGGGCAACGTGACATGGAGAGGAGCAGGGGAGGCCGGGAGCCAGGTCTCACCCAAAGCCCAGCTTGGGCACGCGAATAACACAGGGATGGCTTGGGATTAAACCCAGTCCCCCCAGAGAACTGGTTTAACTGGAGGCTGCCCCCACCCTGCCCTCCCTCGGACCCATAGGGGACAATCCCTCCTTGAGCAGGGAGCATTCCTGGAGCCATTGGCAAGCCCAGGGTGCTTGTCATCCCACTGGAGGGGACCTCTGCAGCTGCCTGTCCCCTCACCTCATCCTGGCCCTCACAGGCCTCAGGAGCTGGATTTTGGTGTCCCATTCCCAGGCTATTTGCTCTTCCCAGAGGATGGAGGATCCCCAGACACCCCATGGGCAGGCGCTGGGGTTGGGTACACATGGAGCGTGTCCCACCATGGGGATGGGGTTGGTGGAAAACTGGAAAGAAGGGGACAAAAAGCCTAGCTGTGCTCTGCAGGGCTGGTTTGCCATGAGAAAGGATGACATGGGTGCGAGGTTGCTTTGAAGACCCCCCCCATGCCCCTCGCTCCTGCCCCCTGCACCAAGCACCCCTTACCCAGGGTAGATCAGGGGGTGACAGACCCCCCTCCCCTTTCCTGAGCCTGGAGTGGGGCTCAGTAAAACTCAGGTTTGTGCCTAACCAGACTGAGCCAGTCCAAGCCCTGCTCTAACCCAGCTACTGGGGCACTGGGGGGGACAGGGATGAGGGGAGAGCTGTTGCAGTCGGGCCTTGAAGATTCAATCCTCCAGGCACCAGCAAGCAGAGGTGCCCAGGGTTTAGCCTTGGGGTGCAGCCTGACCACCCCAATTTGGGGGGGACGGGGACCCAGCACCCGCCAAGGTCCCGGGACATCTCCCTCAGCAGACACAGGGTTAAGAGGCTGCAGCCCAAGCAGGACGGGAACAGGAGGAATTTGGGGGTTCCCGATGGGTAAGAGCCCCCCAGCAGACAGACACCTCCAGAGCCTCCTTTGGGTGACATGGAGGGGGGGATTCAGCAGAGCAGCCACGGGGAGAGCCCAGGGCAGAGGCTTGCAGCAGGGT